TGGTATAGAATACCACTTTTGCAACCAAGTGCTGATAAATAAACCAACTTGTGGGAGTGTGTTCGCAATCATGGTCATTTGCTGATTTAATTGACCCAGAATACCTTTAAATTTGACACAAAGATAGATTTTTTGTGGGCTATGATTCAAGACATAATCCAAAAGAAAATAGGATGCAAAAATTAAATTATTAATCCATCCCCCCTTATTCCCAAAATCCGTTTTAGTGCAAGCATCAAGTTCCACCATTTTGAATTACTCAAATTCTGATGTTAATTGTTTTTTAACCATTTTTTAATAACTTGGTGTCTGTCAGAAGAGGGAAGCATGATGAAACTAAATGGACTATGCAAATTCAAGAGTTATTCTTGTTGTAATCCCATTATTTAATTACTGAATGGACCAAAACTATATGGTACAAGCCACTCTGTGAGAATGTTAAGTAATAATTTCCTTGATTTGCTCAAGGTGTTAAAATATCTCATATGCATTTCAATCACACTTGGCTGAATAGGGCTGAATTAAAAAGTGTTATTTCTTTTTTTGACAATATTGAAGGATTAAGGCCAATGGGTGTGAGAAAAATAAGTGTGATCGAGTCAATTAAATCAAAACCATGTTGCTTTAGTCAATTTACTTTATGTTAGATAAACGAAAACATCTTTATTAAAAAGTCCTTTTGTCATTACCGAGTTTTCTGTAGTGCAGGCAAATCATTGTAAAGATTAACCTTTCAGGTACTTACATAGCCTTAATCCTTAGATCTAAAGAGCCCCAAAGAACGTCAGGTAACATAAACTGTCACTTTTATCAGCCTTTACTAAAGGCGGTTAGTCACATGACGAAAAATAATGCTAAATGACCAACAAGTCAAAGAGCCACTATAGCAATTTACATAAAATTTGAACTCCAATTATTATTTTACTATATAACTCCAGATATTTCTAACAGAGGTCTCGCTTTAGATTAGCTTCTATGTAGGAAATAAGAAGGAAGTGATGACAGCAAGAAACGTATATAAGCAAATTAAACTAACAGAAAAGCTTCTTCAAGGTGTTTAAATGCAACGAATTTCGAGGTTCATGGCAGACTAATGAGAGGATGGAAAGATATAAGAACTTAGTTTTTCTTCTATAAGAAGGTTTTCAAGCCTACCAGCAGATAATATGTATAAAATGTATTGACCCTATTTCTTTCAAGGTGATAAGGGAACTTGTAGTTGAATATTACCACAATGATATAAGTAGAACTTACGCTTTCATTGAATACCACGTGGCCCTGCTTTCACAAAAGATATTCCCATCTAGAGTGGACTGCAATTTTAATCTCGCCTAAGGTCTCATCGGTATTCAGAGTAGGAATCGAGCCATGAAAGTGCAGCGTATAATATCTAAACGTTAACCAGTGTGCCAAATTGCCACGAGTGCCCTTGGGTAACTGGTGGTGTCGAAAAACTTATAAATCGAAAAATAATTAATGCAATGAGGATTGCGGATTAACCCGCAGCCTTGGATCAACAAACCGCCGGCACAATGGGAGGGATGAGGAAGCCAGCGGGAAGTGGAAATAGATTTAAAATAGGTCTAGATAAACAAGTAAGAAATTGTGATATTGAAGGGGTGATAGGAGGCTATAGGATGGGTAAATAGTTCAGGACAGAAGGAGAGATACCACAACTGTTTAGCACACATTTGGTCAAGGGATCGACTTCACTTGTCTCTTTGATGAGTCGTGGTGTGGCGCTAAGAATGGCGAGGCTCACTGACGATGCCGAATACGAGGCCGGCGAAGCGTCTGGGAATGTACCATGTGCACGGTCCGACTCTGGAAATGATCATGCATACAAAGGACTCCGGACTAAGTGCGTTCCTCTAGGTCTTCCTGCCAGTATGACCAAGTTGCGAAAACAAGGTCAAACTACTTCTATAATTAATGCCTCCATCCAGAAATTAGAGGAGAGTTACGGGACTGAGAGACGTATGCTATGTAATCGCAGGTATGAAGACCAAGATGGTGTGGCCTTTTGTGTGGTCGCAATCTCCTTTCGTTGTATAGAAGGTGTTTGACCTTGTTTTCGCAACTTGGTCATGTTGGTAGGAAGACTGATAGAAACGCACCTTGTCCTGAGTCAATTGTATGCATAATCATTTCCAAAGTCGGACCGTGGACGTGGTACATTCCAAGACGTTTCGCCGGCATCTTCAGTGGATTTTACCATTCGTAGCACCATATTACCACTCGTCAAAAGAGACACGTGAAGCGGATCCTTTGACCAAACGTGTGCTAAACATTTTGGTATCTCCTATTCTGCCCTGGCCTATTCACATTTCCTATATCCTCCAATCACGCCTTCACTATCACAATTTTTTACTTGCTTAACTAAATGTGTAACGGTGTGCCCTTTTGTACTGCAGCCGTTTGGCTTTTATACGACGTTAAGGTCGACGCTATCCATGAGACATTTTTCTTCGTTTCGGGTGAAAACGGGCTGAGCTTTCGTCCATCATATGATGGACATCACAACAGCTGGGTGTCATTCTTGTAAAAGTCTCTTGCTAACACTAGGGCAAGATAACTATCCGGCTCTATCTCACCTCTCATATAGACTCACTTAAGCAAAAGAAAATTAAAAACCTAGAAGATATATAGAATGGTTTGGCTAATTATCTATCATACTAGTCCTACTACTTTTGCTCGAGTGTGTGCATAAGTATATGTGTGTGTGTTAGCGTCTATACGTAATACCGGTCCTAAATCAGAGTTATCAAAAGGTTTTCTCTTGGCTCATTAAGCCTTGATGATCAGAGCCTGACATTAGCCTGTTGATAACTCAAACTATGATCATCAAGGCTTAATGACCCAAGAGAAAACCCTGACCGAGACTGCGTAAGTCCGTAGGCAAGTATGGTTGAGATAATGAGATATGAACTTGTAAGCATGTAAGTCAAGTTAAGAAACCACTTGTCCTAACCTCTCAATCTAAGGTCATTAACGTTTAACCCTTTAAGGAAAGGCATGGCTGGCGCTGCATAATTTGGCACGTCTGGTTTGGTTGATGAGCTTAATCTAACATGTTGGACGAGTATAAGAGAAATTAGTACGATCACCGAGAAGACAAGTTGAATCGCATTCTTTTGGATGGTGGCTCTATACCCCCTCTCTCCTTCAATCTATCAATCAAGCATAATTAGTTTCTATTCAACTTTATACCACCGTTACTCATATTCAACGTATTTCCTAACCTATTGATTTCAAAAGCCTATTTTATCTTTCTTTTCTCTGGGTTATCCTCCAGAGTTTGTATCAAAGCTTGAAAGGCTCCTTGAACAGGAATGTTTGTGTACATAGGCATAACATCAAAATTACTAGCCTATCCTCCTCTGAAAGTGTCTGCTGATCAATCAATTTCACAAAATCATAATAATTTTTTTCTGAATATAGCCAAAAATTGTCAGAGTTCCTTAGTTGTATGTATAAAAAACATGAGATTTTATGCATCACACTTCCTTTACTATTTACCATTACAAGAGATGACACAAGGAATAAGGTTGAGTTTAACTTCCATACTTAGACTTATTAACCTATACATGAGTAGCACTTCCTGCAAGAGGCAATACTGACCCCCAAATTGTCGGTTAGATACATGGATGAATATTTGTCATCTGGTCTCATAGTTTCCTACTTTCATTCAATCAGCGTGAAAGGAACATTAAGTTCACAATGGAAATAGAAGAAAATGAGTCCTTACCCTATATGGATGCTCTCATCATTACAAAATATGGTGATTTAGGAAGAGATGTTTATAGGAAGCCAACATATGTTGGCTCTGCTTAATTTTATTTCCAACCATATTTACAAGACTAAAGTTGGAATTTTCAAGTCAATGATTATTAGAAGTATGAGGCTAGCGGAACGACTGATAAATTTATTCCTGGAAAATAATTATCCTTTGGGCTTTATTGAGAATAATATCCCTCTACTGAGGAATAAATTTTCAGACGGAGACAATTTAGTCAAAGATAGACAGGCCAAGACCTTTTCCCATGTCCTAATTTTGCCGTCATGCCTTCTTTCAAAAAAAGATAGGCGAATCAGTAAGAAAGTGGGGGATAAAAACAGTGTTCAAACAAGCCCTCGTTTCTTCTGTTATGTCATCTTTTAGAGAGAGATATGACCCATTATCGAGATCCGGCTGCTACAAGATTGTTTGATCATGTGGTCGATGTTATGTTGGTGAGGCATGTCGACCTATTTGACAAAGATTGGTAGAACACAAAATTGTTTGCAAAGGTAGCTGGATCCAAAGGTCAGAAGTGACCTAACACATGGTAGAAACTGGACATGAAATAGAATGGTGTCAAACTAGTAGTTGTTGGGTGAAGACGACGGCGGATTCCTCTTGACCATCTGTCGATTGGCTTTACTGGAAGATTCATGCTGACGCTGTTTCCGAGTTAATTTCGTTAGCTTGATTTTTGTTGTGACAATGATAACTTGCTCCGATGATGTTCGTCATATGACGGACAAAAGCTTAGCACCTTTTCACCGGAATTGAAGGAGATTTCCTCAGAAACAGCGTCAGCATGAATTTTCCTGTAAAGCCAGTCGACAGCTGGTCAAGAGGAATCCGCTGTCATCTTCTGGTGGAACCGACGTTCGAATCCCTTCACCCAACACTTTCACTCGAAATGGAAGTAAGCTTAACAATTAGGTAACAAGAGATTCCTCGAAACGCAACTTTTCTTCAAACTGGTAGGTTTGCTGATTATGGTACGCACGTCTGTCGTTAAAAAAAAGATAATAGGCTATTGAAATTAATAGTTTAGGAAATATTTTGAATGTGAGGAACGGTGATAGAAAGTTGAGTAGAACTACTTATGCTTGATTGATAGATTGAAGGAGAGAGGGTGTTTAGCCGCCGTTAAAAAGAAGGCGACTAAACTTGTCTCCTCGGTGGTGGTTCTAACTTAACTCTAACTCGTCCAACATGTTAGATTAAGCTCATCAACAAAACCAAAAGTGCAAGATTACGCAGTCCTAGTCATGCCCTTCCTTGGGGAGTTGAATGTTAATGAACCTAGACTGAAATGGTTAGGTGAAGAGATTCAAAGGTCGGTTCCACCAGAAGTCGACAGCAGATTCCTCTTGACCAGCTGTTGATTGGCTTTACTGGAAGTTTTATGCTGACGCTGTTTCCGAGGCAATCTCCTTCGATTGCGGTGAAAAGGTGCTAAGCTTTCGTCCGTCATATGACGGACATCATCAGAGCGAGCTAACATCGTCACAGCAAAATTGAAGCTAACGAGTGAAGAAAACTCACCAGAAAATTTCTAAAAAGTGGTATATATACTCTACAGCTGGCCTCTTTGATCAAGTATAAAGTGATTTGGTTAGTTAAGGTCATATCTATACTTCTATGCATGTGAGTGTGTCCGTCTCTGTATTTGTATGTGCATGTTTGTGTTCGCTTATGCACGAAACCCGAAGTGATGGTTCAAAGTAATTAGGACAGTAAAAAGGAACGTCTGTATTTGGCCATCAATGTTTGATGAGCCCTATCTCCCCCTTTCTTTAGTTAAGTTATAACCACTCCGATTGCGCAAGGTCGGACCCGTCTGGTTTTGTTAATGAGCCTATTTTTGGTTTTCGGTCTCAATGCGAGATAGAAAAAGTGAGCTAAAAGTACAGAGAATTGACTATGATTAGAACCAAGGCAAGAAAAGACTAGTTGCATCTCCTCCTTTTTGCAGGCGGCTCAACTCCCTCTTTTTCCTTCAGTCTATTAATTGAGCACAAATA